GAACATTGCATCCGCCTCGCACAAAATTATCCTTGCGATCTGAATGCAGAAGTTAAATATCTGCGTTTTTTTAAAATCCTTCAATTACGGTCTGATAAGACGAAAGCCAGAAAGCTACATCGGAAAAATTCTTGTTGCATTAATTGGAATTCTGGTAAATTCAACCAGAAAGGTACAAATTAGACACTTATAATTAAATCTATCAATCATTCTAATTAAGATGATCAGAAATTAAATTACTATAATCAGAAATCTAATTCATATAATTAGAATTCGTTTCATATTTGTACTTCTTGTTAGTACAACCATTTTTCTCAGTGAAATGTCATTATTTTGAAGAATTATTATATCATGCTATCTGATTTTATTCCACTCATTTTACGTACTTGATTGACTGTTCTCTCTCTCTCTCTCTCTCTCTCTCTCTCTCTCTCTCTGCGTTTTAATAAATATCACATATCAGCGATTTTTCGTCAGCTATTTATACACAATTTATAACAATTTACAATTATTTGTTAATACATTATGTTTGTATTTAATTAAAATTTGTCGTAAACAGAATTTCCAAATAGCATTTACACTTGCCGCCCACGCAGAAACGCGAGAGAGTTGCACTTGTCGTGCGCAGATTCGTGTACACCACTGGCTGTTGCAAAGGAGGCAATCGAACATGCTACGATCTGGTTATTCTAGTTAACATCACCGGTGCACGAAGCTCCTTTCATCTACGTTGTACGCATTCGTGTTTCTCTTCTTGTATACGTTAAGAATTAAAATATTCAACAGACAAATGGCAAATATAATCTACCAGATATTACGAAATCGCCTTGTTTTCGACAATTAGCAAATTTCTTAATATAAATTAAACGTAGTTGTATAAGAGATAACCAATTATCAAAAAATCATTTTTCTCCGAAACATAAAAAATGCTTAAAAAGATAAAAGATATTAAGGATGCAAGATGTATAAATTAAATTTAAGAACGATTTTGAAATGCATGAAATACAGATTACGATTCTTAAAAACAAAATAAATTCTTCTAAAAATATTTAATAAAAAGTAATATTCTAATTTATATGTATTATTTGGCTTTTTATTAAAAAAAATATCAAATCCATCTATACTATTTTTAAAGCAAATTCTGCACAGAATTTCTTTTAGCATTTCGTAAATTTATGTATTGGAAAAACTGGATTGGATGTGCATTGGAAATTTTTGAACGTTTTAAATGTATTGGAAATTTATTAAAAGATTTGCATACATAACTTCAAATTAAAAGAATTATATATTCGTGTATATTAAAAGACGTATCCAATAATTTCGAGAGGATAGACTTAACATGTGATGTACATCACACATTTCACCTCTCTATTTTTCATCTCTGATTTATTTATCTTTTAACTACCTTTAATTATTTATCTTTTTATCACTGATTTATAGTTATTTCGTGCAATAACTCGGATAGCCGCAGTTAGGAGAGAAGCACCCGATCTCTAAGGCGTAAAAACGTGCAGGAGCTATTCTTGGAAGTAGTCGGGAGTAGTCGGCGAGAGACGGAAGAGGAGTGCGAGGGTACGCGATCGAGGAAGAGAACTCTCGTGGATGTACACAGAGATGCAGGATGAAACGCGTCCACTCTTCTTTGAGGCTAACCGCCCTAGACATTCCATCGAGATGACTCCATGGGATCCCATTGCGCGCGCGCGCGCGGGTGTGTCCCATACACATTCGCGTTACAAGGAAGACGTTGCGGAGGAGAGAAACAGAAAGTAGCGACGTCAGAAAGTGGACACTGTCCAGAATCGGCGGACATATAAGGACATCGGTGGACCTACGAGTCAGAAAAGGTAGCCCCTTGTAAGGTATCTTGCAGAATGGGCTTCTTGTAAATCGCTTCGAGATGCAATACGATGGTATGTCACCGTTGCAATGGATAGAAAGAATAGATGGGAAGGTGGAGCGATTGGGATGGTCTTACAAAGGGTGGTAATACCTGCCATGACATCCGTGAGGTACTTCCAAAAGACTTATTGCGTATCTTTTCTGAGAAATTTACATTCCTGAAGTTATTCAGGATTTCGCAAAAATGCAGAAACATGTAATGTTTCTTTTTATTGCTATTGTGATATGATAGGATAAATTGTTTGCTATTTGCGTAAAATTTTATACATTTGTGTAACTATTTTTTTCTAATTGTTCTGCTTTTAGCTTTTTGCTTTTAGTGAACTTTACAGTTTTGTGTGATATTTCATTGTCATTAAAAAAAGGAAACAAAGAAAAATTGCATAAAAGGAAAAAAGAAAATATACTTTTTTTATATACTCGTAAAAAAAAAAAACGAAAGAATGCTGGAGTTCAAAATCTGACAACAATGAACAACTAAACTTGAATCTCTCGTGTCGCATGTAAATAAGTACTTGCGTTCCAATGTAGTCACTCGCGTGACGTAGCTGATACGAGAAAGCTCATTCGTTACGTTGACTTTGCGACGACGACACGACGACGACTGCGTTGTATTTCTATCGTAGAGATGCACATGCGTGCATCGCGACGAGACGACAACGACAACAGAGATATGTCCGGATGTTCGTCTGTGTCAAGATCGCATAGAGCAAAAAGTCCTTGCAGAAAGACCAGCCAGGAAACAAGAAGAGCTCGGGAGAGTGCCAGCAAGAAGCCAACCGTCTTTAACGCACTCTACCCCGAAATACATTGTCCGCAAAAGATCAGATCAGTCTTGAGTCATCCAAGTCTTGAGACATTCAAAAATGGTTCAAGATAAACATAGAAAATTCAATACAGAATAATAATAATTTCGCAACTATAAATATATTAATTTAAAATAGTGGAAGATTTAAAAATAAATATAAATATAATAGAAAAAATAAAATTTAAGTAAATAAATTAATTTAAATAAAAAGGAAAGAATTTAAATTTTGTATGAATATATATAGTATACGTAGAAGAATTCGAATAATCTATCATATCAAAACATAAATTTAACAAAAGAGAGATAAAATAATTTTCCAAACTTTCGATTTCTAACGATTTTTTTTAATCACTTATATTTTCTAACATTAATTGAATTTTTTACTGTAGATTTAATAATGTTATTATAACACATTAAAATAAATCAGGATATTTTAAATATACATTTATATGTATATTAATTTCGAAAAAATCAACGATAATTTTATATACAAAGGCAATTACTTTCGCTCTAGCGCTATACGTGGACAAACACAATGCTTTAATCGACCGTGCTCGTATTCATTTTATCGAATTGATGTCAGTGGCAGATGTTAAAACGCGACAGAGCCAGATACGCAGCGATAGCCGCGACGACGGCCATCCAGAAGAGCCGAACGAACCAAGTGGCAGTCAGCTGATTTTGACAGATTCTGTTTCAGCGAATATGGGGGCGTAAAAGGTCGGCCCCCACGACGAGCACAATGAATTGTCCGAGCGCCATTGTCAATTCCGCGGTACAGGGTCTCCCAATTCGTGACCAACGAAGCGATATAATTGTTCGGACAGAAAAATCAGGAAAGTAACACGAATATTCGTGGTTTGGTTAGCTCTCCGACATTCCGATGAAGAATTGACTGTCCCATCCACGGAACCGGAGTGCAGTACACATTGTATCAAAAATAAAGGGAGCTTACATGAACAGTTGCATGAGAGAGATAATTTAGATTTCATTCGAGATCGTGTTGTTGAACAGAATTGATACACTTTGTTCGAAACAAGATCATGTTTCTGATAATTAAGTTTTTAGTTATTTAAAAACAATATTATCAATTTATAATAAGCGACTGTTTTATTATTTGTGTGGCTATATTTTCTAGCCATAAAGAATAAAAAAATTGATCCTTATTCGTTTGTAAATTCGCGCGTGTTTAAGTCTATATGTACGTTTATAATTTAAAAAATTGAAAAGATTATCAATAAAATAGCACATTATTGTTAATAAATAATACAACTAATTAAATACGTAAATTATATTGTTTTTCGTCAAGATTCTCCTTAATCCGCGAATATTCATCTATAGTTGTGATTTTTACTACCCTAACAGCAAGAAAAGAAAGCTCGTTGCCAGTCACAGCAGTTTTCTTTATTTGGAATTCATACTTATTTTTATTTCTTCTTATTTAAAAAAAATCAGGTAAATATAATATACATAATAATCTCAATTATTAATAAATTGTAAAAAAATTAATATATATTATGTAATTAATAATAATGACTATTAATTTGGATATAAAAAACATCGCAAGTCATCTTTTTTTTTTAAATTAAGTAACTTCCTGGGTTAAAGGAACATATATAAATCTACAGACCGATCAGATACATCGCATTTGGAAAACCCTGTCCATAGTAGTTGCGTTTACAAATGATCGATCGATAGGGAGTCGCCGTTGCTCTTGTGTGCCTTTTCAGCTAGTGGATATATTAATTTGAGAAGCCAGCTGTTGCAGGCGGTCCAATGAAGCGTCATTCAAATACGAAGCATGGAAAAATGATCATTGTAATTACGTGTTCCTGCGAATCCTTCAAAATTTCGTTTGCAGGCGTAAAGAATTCGCGTTTAAAGTTAGAATTATAAAGTTCATAAACAAATAGTATTTATTACTATTTCTTGAACGCTTATGGATTACATTTCGGTATTTAAGATATATACGAATTTTTAACTTTAATTCCTCTTTGTATGATAATTAAATCAATTTTGCAATTATTCGTACAGCTTTTATGCATGTTACAAAATAATTTTTAACATACTTAATTTACTGCAAGTTACACAAGGGTCGAATAATAACAAAATCGATTCACAGATGAAAACTAAGTCAGTAATATGAAACGCAGCAATGTAGAATATACTTCCGCTTGCGATTTAAGAATAAGAATAGGCGCGCAAAATGCAATGTCTACATATACATATAAGTCTGTATACATGTAGGTTCAAAATATGTGTGATTTGAGAATAGTTTCAAATAACTCACCCTGTTGGGCTGTACGTGCCAGCTACGTCTTTTCCCATGTCTCTGTATGCCATCTTCTGCAATGGTTAGGTCGGCCCTGCTGCCGACTAAACAACCCCCCGTATCGTATTGGCCAACCAGAAGCCTCAATCGATTTCCTGGACAGATGCCCTAGAGCAAAAAAATACAATAACGTAACAACAGCTCACTCCCAATGCTTCGCACGAATAAATTTTTAATCGCGCATGTCCTGTCGATATATTTGATCTAAAGTTCAATATATTTTCTCTTCCTCTCTTGTAACTAAAAATCTCTTAATGCTAAACAAATAAACAAATAATTTATATTTTTGTTATATTTACATAACAATTTTATTTATATATATATAAATATTTTGTTAGTTTTATTTATATAAATATTTTTGTTTAGTTATATTCAAAAATATATTTTAGAAAATTATACATTTTTTAAGGAGATTTTTAATTGAGTTAAAAATCTCTTTTGAGCTGTTAGTTCCAGAAAAGTAAATTTAGATTCTTTACTATTATATACATTTCGTTATATTTTTTATTCATCTGTTCTTAATTTTTATTACCGCCTACTCTTTCTCCTTAAAAAGGCGCGGTAGCTTTTCGATTCGCTCGCACATTTGAGAAGGAGAGAAGGCTCGAGCGAGAGAAGGTTCCAATTAGCTGTTCCCGTCAGTGAGTGTCACGAGTTTGTGTAATTTCGTGAGATCGAGACGAAAATAAACGTTACACCCTTCGTTGCGTCGTATCTTGAGCCTTGAGGAACGAGCGTGCCACCAAGTGATGCATGCCGCGTAACTCATTCGTTTATCTCGAGTTCTACAAAATTGTAACTCATAAATCTCAAGAAGTATGCATTTTCGATGAAATGGCACTAAAACGTTGCCAATATATTAAGATCTCGGTTGATACTTGTCAAAATTTCAGATTTCTCGATATAACTTTATTAACAGAAAAAAGTGAGGAACATAAAAAAAATCTTCGCCAATGTAATAAATTGTCTATTTTTTATCTCACAGATCAACAATTCATTATTCTGCAGAGCAAAATTCCTTAACCTTTTCGTAATTAATCATTATTGGTTTTCATGTTATTTCGATTATCCATTAAATGCAATCAAAGCAGAAGCGTTGATAATATAAGTGATAGATACTGATAAAATCAAATTTAATTTTAATTAAGCTTTCACAATATCGAATTTCTCATTGAAAAAGAGTAAGAATTTGATAACTCCAATTCACCAGTAGGTCGCGGAAATATCCATCATAAGCCCACAAACCGCTGATTCAACCGATACCTTTAGCAATAGTCTATTTCGATGACGTCAAAAGTTCCCAGTTTCCAATAAAGATCAGGAGACCGTATCATTCAATCACCCTCCACGTCACATCGCTTTACTCTCAATTACTGCCTTACATATGTCTCCAAACGAATTGTACGTGTATTGGTCGTAGCAACGTCGATGAGCCGAGTGTTTCAGCAAACGGAAGTCATTTCAGAAAAGTGGCTCGATAAGATCATGCAGTGAGAAGGTTGCCCGAGGTCATGGACCCGATTTGAAGAGTACTATATGTTCAAACACGAATATGACCTCGCGTGATTTTCAAAACTACGATATAAATGAATCAATCAGTCAGTTCGACAAATGAATTAATTATTATATAAAAAGCGTTTAATGTTGTCCACCTTTTTATAATAATATCAAAGATAGTTGTATAACTGTTTTCTTGATCACGAATTGTCACGAAACTTTAGATGTGTTTAAACGAGCTTTGCCATTATTTTTTCAAGTATACCTAGTTAGTTATGCAAAAGTATTTACGGTAGTTGGTATCGTAGACATGAGTCTGCTTCTATATCGAAGGTAATTGTAATGCACGATCGTTAGTCCCATTTCCGTGATAATAATGTTGCCTCGTCATACCTCGAGAACCTCCGGAACCGCTGTGGTGCATCGGCTCTTATGCATTATACAGATGTGCATAAGCAGTCTCGTGCACGCGAAGTACTTGTACGTAGAAGCTGACGACAGCTTTGTTACTGTTGGAGATAAATTTGCTTTTTGGATGGAGCATCACACACGAGCAGTCATCGAGATACAAAATTAAGAGAACGAAATATTAAGAGCTCAATATATAATAATACGAAAGTTATTTTTTGCATAACAGTGTATATGTTATACCAAATAAATAGACGAATATCAAGTAATAATATAACAATAAAAATAAAATTCATAAAAATCTACAGATTTTTAATTTATTATAAAAATATATGCTAAACCTTTATGACTTTCCATTCAACAAATCGAAAAATTTCACAAACGACATAGGAAATTATAAATAAAGCAAAGCGAAATAAAACAGTTAAATTGGCACAGAAATAATACAGTGATCTTTTATTACATAATATATAATAATTGGATATTTTGAGTTAGTAACGAATTCTCTGGTATATTTTACGCTTGCATCGAATTGCAATGGCTTCATTGACGAAACATCAATCTTTTTGTTATTTATAATTTGGAAGAAATTTCTTTGGTTTCTTGCTCTCTCGTTTCTACCTTTCTAATTAAACAAGCATGTTCTTAATAACTGATAATCACGTCTATGCGCAGACATGTCTGACATCAGCCAGAAGGCAGAGATCATCGAAGCTAGATCATCGTAATCGAGAGTCCTATTTTCATGATAATAATGCCTCTTTCAGAAGAGAGAAAAAAAAACAGTTTCATTCCGGGTCTGATGTTATGCATTATAAAGACGCGCATAGATAATACGAAATACGTACGTAGAAATACCCAACGTGTGTTTTTTGTTAATGTGTGTAATGGATAAACTCCATTAAAATGTAATAGAACGAGGAGAGACGCAGTTAATGGAGATGCAAGTGGAATTCCCAAACGCAAGGAAGTTTCATAATATTACACGTTCGCCTAAGGCAATTTCGATTAGCAGAAAATTGGATTGTAATCAGATTTAGAATTTCAGTATTTACAAACAACCGTTGGGATGAAATAAATTCATTCAAATTTATTTAAAGTGAAATCTATCTTGAGAAAGTAAAATCGATTATTTTATTATTATACGAGTATATCATTCTATAGATGAAGTAAAAACCTTACTTCGAGAATATAGATCCTGCGAAACTTATAGGAATTTCTACATTATACGATATCATTTCGTAAGGATCTCGAGTTTTCAAGAATTCTATTTGAGAAAGATTCGTAGGTATAAATTTATGTCTTTTGAAATAACTATACCTGTCGACCTCGCAGAGCGCACAGCCACCATCCTTCAAGACCAGCAGTGTTCTGTTCCAATACGGTGAGAACGTCGCCTTTTCGAAAAGCCAGCTCGTCAGGCGCCTCGGCGATATTGTCATACAGAGCTCGTGCTTTAACACATTTTTGCTGCAACATAAAAAGAAAAAAACGGATGTGTGTGTGTGTGTGTATGTAAGCACAAATAATGTAAAACAATGAAAACTGACAGAAAGGAAGTCGCTAAGTGAGATAAAATGAAGGGATTTTAAAATCTCCGCAATGCTAGACTCTTATCATTCGCGACTGTCAATAAATTGATATTTCTAATATTATTGGCGATTCGTCTTTGCAAAACAACGCTTTATCGAGGAATCGATTCTCGCAATATCTCCAAGAAACACATAAAAATCAACAAAAAATCAGAATGACTTAATTTTTGAACAATTACATAAATATGTAAATATATAAATAAGGATTCTCAATCTTAAAAACAATAGAAACAATTAGAAATTCAGAACAAGGTTAATGAGAGCCCTAACGCTGATGTAAGAGCGAAGAGTTAGGAGATGCAGATAATACTCAGGTGTTGGCGATTGTCTTCATTTATTGTATCGATCTTAATTTTTATTCCTAACGTCAATAAACAATCAAACCTTGTGATCAAGAATCATCATTTTGACTTACGTGATGCCAAAATAAAATCATTTGGATTTTCTCTCGACTTAGTGTGTTTCCTTAGATCAGTGTTCGCGTAAACGAATTACGTTCTCTGACTCGACACTTTTGACGGCGCCGGATGTGCGATACCGTATTGCGGGCAGATGGCACGTCGTCGTATCGGTGCCGCAGAAGCAATTGGTTTCATTCAAAAAGTCAACGAGCCGGTGGTTTCCACACGCGCGCCAATTGGGCTATTGGGCACGCAGTAAAACGGCAGCAGCAGTTCGCAGCCTCGGCAGTATGCGCCCTTCAGTCAATTTAAATCCATAAAATCCTAGTACCACATCCCTCTCCGCTCTCGTCCATCTGCTGCGTCTATTTCGAGAGACGGCGGCAATCCCGTCTGTCCTGTTGTTCCGCCGCCGAGAAGAGACGTAACGATCACTTAAACGGTGATCCCGTCCTCGAAGTGCAACGCGCGATAGACGCGTTTTACGAGGAAGCTGCGGCGAGATCTGTCCGTCATCCGCCTCCCTCTCAAGCGGAGCTCAATTGAAGCGCCTTGAACGACCGTTTCGTCTCTCCTTCTCATACCTCTTTGAGCTCTATTTCTCTTACACTAGCCTATAGGCAAACGATGATGTCATATACGCGATCTTCGGCGAAGTTCCGGCGCAGGCGACGCCGCCAAGGAATTAACGCGTCGCTACGATCATTAACACGGGTGCTTCTATTAAATGTAATTGCCTGCACTTCCATGAATACCGCGTGGAAAATCGAGCCCTGCGGTAGCGATAATTCGTTCTAACGCGGTACATTTAAGCGAAAGGGAGATACGTTCGTGTTCGGAGAGAAATTCTATGGGAAAGGAAGTGGTTTGTGTAATTGACTAAATATAACAATAAAAGGGAGAAATAGTTAAAGAATAAAAAGGGAAAGTTTGATATAATAATGATTGTATAATATATAGAAGCAAAAAGGATAGAACTTAACTTTCCTGAATGAAATAAAGTAAATTTTAGTCAGCTAATAATAAATAGATAATTTATTCGCAACGAAATTCATTCTTAACAAAGCTGTTCCCGTTCTAATTATATTAATGGTCTTGCTTCGATAATTAATTTGTAGCAGGGCAAGAAGAGAATAGTTAATCGGGAATTAAAACGGGAAAATGTGTGGACGCGCGCGTGCGGATAAGTACTCTTCAAATAACATAAATGTTAATAGAGTTGAATTATAATTGCTTTTCCGAATGAGCACAAAAGTAACTTTTCGCCGCTTTCCGTTGTAACTCTGTTAGATTAATAATACTTCAATTATACACGCTACGGAATTCTATTTCGTGACATACACGTAATATATTCTGTTCTATCTTTGTCCTCTTTTCCTCTTGTAGTTAGCTCTTTAATATGGAATCGCCACCACTTTGACAAACGTGATAAAAGCTTTTTACTCCCATATTACTACCTCACAATGATATAGCATCTTACTGCGCCGCAAAATGTTTCAATTTTGCATATAACATGACTCGGATATGTGCAATCTAGCAAATATGCATAACATACAAATGCTATAAATAGCAATTTAATTTTCTATTCAAAAAGTCTCTTAATAAATTTTAAATTAAATATTTATTAATAATCTTTACATATGTATATTAAATATCTATTAATATATAAACAGATATCTACTAGTAAAAATTAGCAATTTTATATTTAAGATGCGCATTTATTTGCCAACAAATAAAAAGTTTAAAGAAGAATTTATTTTAAAATTCATTTTACAAATGTTTCTAAAACAGATGAGTTCGCTTTTTATCTTTAAAGAATAATTCACAAGATTTTTCTTAGATATGCTAGTTATGTTAATCCACGCCTCGCGTTTCAAACGGAGGGATAAGCTTACTTTATCCGCGTCGTATCTATCTATATAACTATAAAATCTATCTCATCTATCTCTCTTTTTATATTGATATTTCAAGTTCATTGTATATGGACCGAATATATATATCTCTCTCTCTCTCTCTCTCTCTCTCTCTCTCTCTCTCTCTCTCTC